ACTCATGTATGGCCTGAATTAGTTTTACAGAGGAGCTCTGGTGCTAGAATTACTACCCATGATCTGACATTGTTGGTGATGCATCACGTGTGTGGGCCGATCGCGGTTTGCATACCTGAAGGACCAACGCATACATTAAACTAAAATTGGTTCTGATATCGCTATTTTACTAACCTGACAGCTTATTATTCTAAAAAGGAAACCTTCAATTGGTTTGCAGATATGAAAGATTCTAACTACCAGCAAGAATGAGTCGGATTCATTACATTTAAAGAGCACCTGTCATTTTAGATCCATCATGGCAGTACCTGTTAGCGGGCATCCACTCACCTGCTGCCCCCACGTCCCTCACCTTGTTATGTCACTGCCAGATCACCAGCCGTCCCAATAAAGTGAATGGGACTGTCGGTTAGTCAACAGCGGGTCAGAGAAGGGGCCGCTGGACAGAGATGACAGTTGCTCTCTAAAAATTATGATCTAAATCGAGCCTTTTCACTAGCGATTTAAATCAAATCCACCATGATAATATTATATTACAGTCCTGTCTGAAAATCTGGTAAACAACATTTTAGGTTTTTTTTTTTTTTTTCTTTAACTGCTCCCTGCCCTATAGTACTATGACAGCTGGGTGGGACCACTATTGTGGGAGGACATCCTCCCATTTTTGCCAAGCAAGTGTGCCCGCGACGATCGGTGGTGTGCTGTGTCCCTGGGAACACAGTGGATCACGAATCGTGGTAAAGAACTGATAACATAGGCTCTTTACCATGTGATCATCACCAATTGCGGTAAAGAGCTGATAACATAGGCTCTTTATCATGTGATCAGCTGTGTCCAATCACAGCTGCTCACATGTAAACAGGACGTGAGAGCTGGTAAGCGGCAGTCCTCAGAGGGGACATGATTATCAGTGCAGCCCCACCAGTGCCCATCAGTGATGCTTGTTGGTGCCACCTGTCAGTGCCTCCTCATCAGTGCATATTAGTGAAGGAGAAAAATTAGTTACAAAAATTTATAACAGAAACTAAGAAAAACGTTTTTTTTTTTAAATTTGCAGCCTTTTTTTTGGTTAGCATATAAAAAAAAACAGTGGTTAAATACCACCAAAAGAAAGCTCTAACAACCTCAAAAAAAACCCCAAAAAACAAAAAAAGAGACTAGTTAGTGTTGCATGACCGCGCAATTGTCATTCAAAATGTGACAGCACTGAAAGCTGAAAATTGCCCGGGCAGGAAGGGGGTAAAAGTGCCCGGTAGGCGAGGGGTTAAATAAAAATGTTGATCTCGGAGTCTGATGATACGTAGCAGATTCATCCTCTAATAGTATATACAGCATATCTCGTCTGTCTGTTTTTCAGCATTAGATATTTTACTCCCTAACCATATAGCTGCTTATTTATATTTACCACTGAATATAGATGTTCAAGAATTTATTTTTTTTTTAATTTTACATACTAACTAAATTATACACCTCACTTTTTTTATCTGATTAATCGAATCAGTCAACTAATCGATTATGGAAATAATTGTGAATTGAATCCCCAGTGTCTATTGCTTGGCCCCATGATATATTATATGTACCAGTCATACTGGCCTTCTGTGGAAGCCCCCTGAGAACGGGGTCTTGGTGTCTGAGGACTGCTTATTATGGATTGGCATTTTTTCTGTCCATATGTCACATATTTCTAAATCTGCTGAATGAATTGGTCCTCCAGCCAAACGGATGACCGCGGGTCTCCACCCAAACGGATGACCGCGGGTCTCCACCCAAAGCGGATGACCGCGGGTCTCCACCCAAACGGATGACCGCGGGTCTCCACCAAACGGATGACCGCGGGTCTCCACCCAAACGGATGACCGCGGGTCTCCACCCAAACGGATGACCGCGGGTCTCCATCGCTACGACTGTGATTACATCCTGAAGTTTGAATAAACAGATCTCCCTGAGGAAGGGAGGCTTTGACCTGCAAAACACGGCGGAGTTATATACATCCAGGAGTTATATACGTTATATTCTCCTAATTTACTTTATATGCCATCTTGGAGCCATTTACATCAAGCCTGATGCTCTTATTGTTACAATTAGGGGTGCACCGAAATTTCAGTGGCCGAAAACACCCCTATGGGCTGTTGGCCGATATGAAAATAAGCACAGGTGCCGAAAAATAACCCCACCCCCTGCTGCTGCCACTGCTACGGAGTTCTCAGCCTTACCTGAGAACCACCAAACGATCCTGGCGCTGGGCATAGAGATAAGTGGAGGAAAGTGGAGGAAAGCGATGCCACTTCCGGTTCCGGCGCCTTGTAAACAAGGCCATTTTTTTTCCTAGAGCACTACATCAATGCTTTTTTTGATCTAATGCTTTACATTGCAGAGGAGAGATGTGGGGTCTTATTGACCTCATACCTCTCCATAAAGAGGACCTGTCACTAATTATTTCTATCACAGGGGATGCATGCATTTCTTGTGATAGGAATAAGTGATTAAAATTTGTTTCTAAAGGGACAGTGTAAAAAAATTAAATACATTTAAAAAAAAAAAAGTGCCCCTGTCCTCGCAGGTAGTGGTGAACGAATACGTAGGCCACGCCCACATATGTAAACGTTGTTCAAACCACACGTGAGGTATCGCCATGAACGACAGAGCAATAATTCTTGCACTAGATCTTCTCTATAACTTTACAATGCTAACCTGTAGAAATTTTTAAAAAGTCAATCATGGAGATATTTAAGTACCGCAGTTTGGCGCCATTCCAATAGCATGCGCAATTTTAACGTGCATGACATGCAATAATTTTTTTAATCATAAAAGTGTATTTGTTTCCAAAAATTATACATTAATTTTTTAAAAACGTCCATTTTGGTTTCGGTTAAGTGCATCATGAATTTTTGATTTCGGCACCAGAATTTTCATTTTGGTGCACCACTAGTTACCATACACAATGGTATATGTTTTTAGAGAACATGCTCAGTTTTTGGTACTGAAATCATGTCTTTTAATATTCTAAAATAAAGTTATTTTTTATATTTGTATGATTTGTTGTTGCTATGGTACCCAAAGAAGTCTCAGAAGCTTTTCTGGTTAGGGTTTTTTGCATTTTTCAGGGTTCCTATAATAAGGGATGTAGTACCAGGAAGACCCAGTGACAAGGTAGGGACCGTTATCTATATGCGTCTCCTTCCCTTCTCTTTCTATATCAATTTGTTTTCCCAATCAATCTCTTCTGACAGGAATAATTGATCTATGGTTGACAATAAAACTGATCAATATGACACACACAGGGAATTGGATTTCAATCGATACCTGAACTATGCAAGTAAGATATTGATCGTAAATGTTTCCTCCAAGCAAACTCCTAATCTGATCAGTGGGGAGACCATGGACCCCAAGGCACCCGGGACCGAGGGGGGGGGGGGGGGGGGGGGGGAGACCATGGCCCCCAAGGCACCCGAGACCGAGGGGGGGATGGGGGGGAGACCATGGCCCCCAAGGCACCCGAGACCGAGGGGGGGGGGGGGGGGAGATCATGGCCCCCAAGGCAAACCGGGACCGAGGGGGGGGGGGGGGGGGGAGACCATGGCCCCCAAGGCACCCGGGGACCGAGGGGGGGGGGGGGGGAGACCATGGCCCCCAAGGCACCCGGGACCGGGAGAGGGGGGAGGGGGGGGGATCATGGCCCCAAAGGCAACCCGGGACCTGAGGGGGGGGGGGAGACCATGGCCCCCAAGGCACCCGGGACTGAGGGGGGGGGGACCATGGCCCCCAAGGCACCCGGGACTGGGGGGGGGGGGGGTAGAGACCATGGCCCCCAAGGCACCCGGGACTGTGGAGGGGGGGGGGGGGAGAGACCATGGCCCCCAAGGCACCCGGGACTGTGGGGGGGGGGGGGACCATGGCCCCCAAGGCACCCGGGACTGTGGGGGGGGGGGGAGACCATGGCCCCCAAGGCACCCGGGACTGTGGGGGGGGGGGGGGGGAGACCATGGCCCCCAAGGCACCCGGGACTGTGGGGGGGGGGGGGACCATGGCCCCCAAGGCACCCGGGACTGTGGGGGGGGGGGGGGGACCATGGCACCCCGGGACGTGGGGGGGGGGGGGGGGGACGACCATGGCCCCCAAGGCACCCGGGACGTGGGGGGGGGGGGGAGACCATGGCCCCCAAGGCACCCGGGACGTGGGGGGGGGGGACACCATGGCCCCCAAGGCACCCGGGACGGGGGGGGGACGGGGGGGACCATGGCCCCAAGGCACCCGGGACCGGGGGGGGGGACCATGGCCCCCAAGGCACTCCCGGGACCGAGGGGGGGACACACGGCTCCCACGAGGCACCCGGGGACCGAGGGGGGGGGAACACCACGACTCCCCAAAGACCGAGGGGGGGACACCACGACCCCCGGGACCGAGGGGGGGGGGGACACCACGACTCCCGGGACCGAGGGGGGGGACACACCACGACTCCCGGGACCGAGGGGGGACACCACGACTCCCGGGACCGAGGGGGGGACACCACGACTCCCGGGACGAGGGGGGGACACCACGACTCCCGGGACCGAGGGGGAGACCCTCAAAGCACTCAGGACCAAAGAGAAAGCAGACAGCCCCCATGGCACCTGGGACCAAATGGGAGCCAATTACCTCAACACATCCAAGATTAAGGTGGGCAGTGGATGACCCCCAACAATTCTGGGATCAATGGGGAGCCAATGACCCCCAACAAGAGCAGAATGGGGGGGGCTCTATACACAATGGTAGGGCCCCAATCCCCCCGGACACTGGGCCCCCCCCATACACTGAGCACTCTGGAGGTACATTGCAGACACACGTGACCCCGCACTGGGTGACCCCTCACATCATACCCTGTCATGGTAAACACTGGAAATCAGCTGACCAGGGAGGGGGAGGGACATGCAGGCTGCACACTACAGGGGGAAGTATATCCAGAACGGACCCATGCTGAGCACAGCTTCCCCGGGGAGGGGGGACACAGCGGCTCTCCGTACCTGAGAAGCTCCCGGAAGTCCAGGTAGGACAGGATCAGCAGCAGAGGATCAGACGGCAGATCGGCCAGTCCCAGCTCCCCGGCCCCCGCCATCTTGGTGGCGACCCGCAGAGCAAGCGCGACTCCTCCCCTCCCAACCGCAAGACCACGCCCCCTCCAAGAAGCGTCTTCTTCCAGCTGTTTGACCACGCCCCTGAAAAAGTACTTAGGGCTGGCCATGGGCTTTCAGCCTGACCACACCCCCTGGGGAGGAGTCATTCGCTTTGGTCGCAAACGCGCATGCTTTGCGTGCTGGCTGCCGTGCGCGTCCCTGTATCTCGTCTTCGACGCGCTCCTTGCGCGCTCGTACGCCAGTGAAAAGTCACGTGGTGTATCACAGCAACACGTTCCCGCCTGAAGCGGCGGGTGTGGGTCCAGTGCCTCCATTCTGCACCTGTGACCTGCGGGTGTTAACCCTTTCTGTGCCAATATCAGTCAAAATACCCCTTACCTTGGCAGACATCTTATTTAATTACTAATAAAGGCTTTTTCTCAGTATGTCTCCCCAAATGACAACGTTAACCCCTCTCATACCTGACACTACTTTACCCCCTCATACCGCCATCTTTGTTCTTTTTCTGTTGAAGCGTTGCCCCCGCCAGCCACCTAGTCATGTCGTTTCATGCCCACTCTGCCATCACTTGCAGGGAAGGGTTTGTACAACGCAGAATAGTGGGGTGTCATACCTAACCATCCCCATCCCTCCCTGCTGGAAGGTTGAGGGAGGACTCCAAGGCCTGAGGCCTTGTTTATATAATGCAATGGTCTCTGAAGAGCGATTCATGTTCAGATTGCTCTTCAGAGAACACATGACAGGCGGTTATGAGTGTTATATTGCCTTCTCACCGCCTGCTTTAACCCCCTTGGACCCCCACAAGTGTCCTGCAACCTCCTGCATTGCATGCGTTTTTGGGGCACTTGCAGAGCGGTCCCATCCTCTAGAATGGGTTGTGATTGGCGGTCAGTAGCGCTTTTCAAAAGCGACAGGCCTCTAACCACTTCACCTGAGAGGATTTACCCCCCTTCCTGACCAGGCCATTTTACCAATACTGCGCTGCGTTACTTTAAGGGTCGTTTCACACGACGTTCCGCTTTCTTCATGCGTTCAGTCACGATTTTACAAAAACAGATCAGTTTGCAGCAGTTTATGTCAGTTTTTTCATCCGTTTACATTATTTTCCATCCATTTTCACCCATGTACATTCATTTTCCGTCCATTTTCGTCCGTTTACATCCATTTTCCATCTGTTTTTCATCCGTTTACATCAGTTTTTTTTATTTGTTTTACATTCATATACATCTGTTTTTCATGCGTTTTATATCTGTTTACATCTGCTTTTCATCCGTTTACATCTGTTTTACATTCATTTACATCCGTTTTTAATCTGTTTACATCTGTTTTACATTCATATACATCCATTTTTCATCAGCTTACATCAGTTTTTTCATCCGTTTTACATCAGTTTACATCCGTTTTTTCGTCTGTTTACATCTGTTTTACGTTCGTTTACATCCGTTTTTAATCCGTTTACATCTGTTTTATATACGTTTACACCATTTTTTTCATCCGTTTTCCATACATTTACATTCGTTTTTTTCATCCATTTTACATCTGTTTCCATCTGTTTTACATTCGATTACATCAATTTGTCATCCGTTTACATCTGTTTTTTCATCCATTTACATCTGTTTTACATGCGTTAAATCCATTTTCCATCCTTTTCCATCTATTTTTCATCCATTTACAAAAGTTTTTTTCATCTGTTTTACATCCGTTTACATTGTTTTACATTCGTTTACATCTGTTTTTCATCTGTTTACATCCGTTTTACATCCGTTTACATCTGTTTTTTTCATCCGTTTTACATCCATTTACATCCGTTTTTCATCCATTTACATCTGTTTTTTCATCCATTTTACATTCATTTATATCCATTTTTTCATCTGCTTACATCTGTTTTTACATCTGTTTTTTCATCCATTTACATCTGTTTTACATTTGTTTACATCCATTTTTCATTCGTTTACACCAGTTTTTTCATCTGTTTTACATCTGTTTTTCATTCATTTACATCCGTTTTTTCATCATTACATCTGTTTTACATTATTTTCCGTTTTCATGCGTTTATTTTTTTTTTTTTTTTACGGAATAGGGTTTTCTTACTGACAAAAAAACGAATGTTAATGGATACGGAGATTAACGGATGTAAATGGGTGATCATCCATTTACATCGGCTGGTCCATAGAAATACATGGGTGTCCGTTTTTCAATCTGTAAATGGACAGATGAAAAATGGACATACGTATCGCCCGTGTGAAAGCGGTCTAACTGACAATTGCGTGATAATGTATAAATAAAATGTATGTCCTTTTCCCCCCACGAATAGAGCTTTGTTTGGTATTTGATCGCCTGTGCGTTTGTTAGTTTTTGCGCTATAAACAAAAAAAAACCCGACAACCACGCTGTAGCCGTCTTTCAGCTTGGCAAGCGGTTTAAAGCAGAATTAAACCCAACAACAATTAATTATATTGCAGCCTACCAATTCTTAGATGTGATGGCAGCATTTGTTTTCTCTTTTAGGCTTTCTTTCTTCTACATCTGTGATCCAGCTGGTAAGTCTGTTGTTTTTTAACCAGAAAATCTCTCTTGTAATTAAGCTGGCCATACATTATACATATGTTTTCCTATCCAATTTCCTTTAGATTTATCTTCGACTATGTAGTGCCAGGGCCCCCCTGATTTCATACAAACAGGAAGTGTTAAGGTGTGACGTCATATTCTATGGTTTTGGTAAATCTAAAGGAAACTTGTACAAGAAAATTGTATATATGTACTGGCCAGCCTTTCGGGGATGAGACACGCATTTACCACTGGCAGGTGTGCTTACAATGATCAGCGTTTATTTATGTAAAAGTTTATGCCGAAAGGAAAAAAAAAAAAAACCTGTTTGCTACAGGGGTGGACTGACCATTTGGAAAGTCAGGCACTGCCCGAGGGCCCGGGGTCAGTAGGGGGCCCCATGAGATGCCCCTGGTACCTTTTTCATAGGCTTTTTTGAGTTTGGGCAAGGACACAGGGGCCCCATGATCCCCTATTGCCCGGGAGCCCCATGAGTTGTCAGTCCGCAACCTGGTTTACTATAACTGATTATAAAGTGTGAGCTGGAGTACTGCATTTAAATCTGCTAGTCCATCTTACACACCCCTCCCCCCAGACTGACAATGCTGCTGTCCAAAAGTGCCCCCTGTGCTCCTTCATCCAGATTGGGGGCGCTCTAATACAGGAGGTGTGTTACTGACCAGATCACTAGGTGAGAAAGAGAGGGAAAAAAATGTAAAAAGAAAGCTAATGCAGCCACATCCAAGGACTGGTAAGCTGCAGTATATTCCGTGTTCACATGTAAAAATCATCATCTTAAAAGAAGTAAAGAAAAATCTAAAGAAAAATATGAAAAGTAGAAAACAATGGAATTCCTGTCCCCTGACACAACTGCGCAGATTTCATAATACATGGAATGTTTTTCATGGTAAGAGTCCTAAGAATACAAATGTGATATATTGCAGCTTATTCAGGGGCGGGACTGACAACTCATGGGGCCCCCGGGCAATAGGGGATCATGGGGCCCCTGTGTCCTTGCCCAAACTCAAAAAAGCCTATGAAAAAGGTACCAGGGGCATCTCATGGGGCCCCCTACTGACCCCGGGCCCTCGGCAGTGCTCGAGTTTCCAAATGGTCAGTCCGCCCCTTGATATACACCATATCTTCCTATAAACATTGTATCCTTCCATATACATTTGATCCTGGTATCCTTGTAGATTCATTGTCCCTGGAGAAGATGATCATCAGCTCTGGTAGGACTTCCATATAACGTCACAGAGGTTGTGTGTCAGAGCAATACACCTGTGTGAGAAGGCTCTGCTGGAAGCACTTAGATGTGGTGTCTGCATTCGTTTTCTTTTTCAGACTTTTCCCCCTTTATTTTCACCTGGTGATCCTGCCAGTAGAACACTCCCTGCACTACGGTGACAGTGCATACTCACTGCACTGGTTCTGTGGAGGAGTAGCATTGTCACTGTAGCTCAGGAAGTGAGTCAGGACCAGGGGCGGACTGACCATTTGGAAACTCGGGCACTACCCGAGGGCCCGGGGTTAGTAGGGGGCCCCACGAGATGCCCCTGGTACCTTTTTCATAGGCTTTTTTGAGTTTGGGCAAGGACACAGGGGCCCCATGATCCCCTATTGCCCAGGGGCCCCATGAGCTGTCAGTCCGCCTCTGGTCAGGACTACAAAACACCTCCCCCTTTCTTCATCTTTGTAAGGGTCTGTGTTGAAGAACTTTGCACTTGTCAATGCATATATTCCTGTAAACAAGTACCACTCAGATGGGCATATATTGGCATTGAGCATTTTGCCTGCCGTTGATTTTTGCCGGTCGGCTGGCGGTGGGCTGTACACTTTAGCGGTGACTCCTGGGCAGAGAATTATCCCGATTGTGCACTGCATGGCCCGCCTGCTGATGTATGCCTGTAGCGTATGTCTGAATAGTTGAGGGATGATTGCATTGAGGTAGCAAAGATGGGCAGCACAGTGGCTAAATGGTTAGCACTTCCGCCTGGCAGTACTAGGGTCACTGGTTCGAATCCCAAACATGGCACCACCTGCCTGGAGTTTGCATGTTCTCCCTGTGCCTGCGTGGGTTTCCTCCGCATATTCCGCTTTCCTCCCACACTCCAAAGACATGCTGGTAGGTTAATTGGATCCTGTCTAAATTGTCCCTAGTATATGTATGTGAGTGTGAGTTAGGGCCTTAGATTGTACACCCCTTGAGGGTTAGGGACTGATGTGAATGTACAATATATATGTAAAGTGCTGTGTAAATTGACAACACTATATAAGTACCTGAAATAAATAAAAACAAAAAAGAAACACATCTCAAAGAAAAAAAAACTTTGCAATATGACCAGTAGATGGCAGCATTGGAACACAAATTAGTGGGGCAATGCTGGAGCATACATTCAATGCAGCTGCTGATACTGATTCTACAGCAACACATAGGGGGGCGTTCACACTGGCTTTGGGCATTTTTTTTTTTAAACACAAGGCACTGTTTTTTTTTTTTTAAATATAATCAATGAGGGCCAATTAAGAATATCAAAGAATGTCAGCTGCACTCTACTTAGCAGCATTTTTTAAAATAATTTTATAAAGTGCTGAGCAAACTGTTGGCACTATAGAAATCCTGTGTAATAATAATAATAATAATACTGAATTGTCTTGTAAGGGGTAGGGTGGTGGTTTTTTGTCATGTCCTCCATGTTTCACTCCTTGGGTGCCAAGCATGAGACTATGGTTGCCACCACATCCCTTTAAAACTGAACACATATTAATGACACAGGTTCTGTGGCTGACTAAGGTGGTAATTAAACTCACTTAGGCTAGGTTCACACGGATGCTGATTGTGTTTGAGCCGTTTCTGCATTGCGTTTTGTGTTTTTGACGCGTTTTTAGTTATTTTTTCTTGTTGCTAGGCAGATTTAAAATGCAAATTGTTGCAAATACGCAGCAAAAATGCAATACATGCAGCGTTTCAGTTGAAGTCTATAGAACAAAAAACGCAACTTTTTGCGTTCCAAAACGTTCCTGAACCCGGGTTCACACTTGTGTGGTGTAGCATACCACATGTGATTCGCAGAAGGACCACACCGCATTTCTATGAAAATCGCATGCGAATTCTGTGCGGTGCGATTTGAGCCATACATTCTGTATGGAAAAAATCGCATCACATTTTCACCATACAGAATGTATGCGTGTATGATAAGTTAGCAACACCCCGAAATCAGTTCGCAAAACGCGGTGCGATGTGCAGAATCGGATCACATGAGAGGGGGAACCTATTGTTGCTGGGGTGGGGTTCGTTGTTGCTGGGGGAGTCTATTGTTGTGTGGGGCACCTATTGTTGTTGGGGGATCTATTGTTGTTGGAGTGGGGTCTCTTGCTGGGGGAACCTATTGTTGCTGGAGTGGGGTTCATTGTTGCTGGGGGAGTCTATTGTTGTGTGGGGCACCTATTGTTGTTGGAGTGGGGTCTATTGTTGGGGGAACCTATTGTTGCTGGGGTGGGGTTCATTGTTGCTGGGGGAGTCTATTGTTGTGTGGGGGACCTATTGTTGCTGGGGGAGTCTATTGTTGTATGGGGGACCTATTATTGCTGGGGTGGAGTTCGTTGTTGCTGGGGGAGTCTATTGTTGTGTGGGGGATCTATTGTTGTTGGAGTGGGGTCTATTGTTGTGTGGGGGACCTATTGTTTCTGGGGTGGGGTTTGTTGTTGGGGGAGTCTATTGTGTGGGGGACCTATTGTTGTTGGAGTGGGGTCTATTGTTGGGGGGACCTATTGTTGCTGGGGTGGGGTTTGTTGTTGGGGGAGTCAATTGTTGTGTGGGGGATATATTGTTGTTGGAGTGGGGTCTATTGTTGGGGGAACCTATTGTTGCTGGGGTGAGGTCCGTTGTTGCTGGGGGAGTCTATTGTTGTGTGGGGGATCTATTGTTGTTGGAGTGGGGTCTATTGTTGTGTGGGGGGTCTATTGTTGTTGGAGTGGGGTCTATTGTTGTGTGGGGGACCTATTTTAGCTGGGATGAGGTCCGTTGTTGCTGGGGGAGTCTATTGTTGTGTGGGGGATCTATTGTTGTTGGAGTGGGGTCTATTGTTGTGTGGGGGACCTATTGTTGCTGGGGTGAGGTCCGTTGTTGCTCGGGGAGTCTATTGTTGTGTGGGGGATCTATTGCTGCTGAAGTGGGGTCTATTGTTGCTGGGGAATCTATTGTTGCTGGCTGCAAGGGATCTATTTTACTGCTTTTCTTGTTAAAATTAAGAAATTCCAAACAAATTATTTAGCATCACAAAATGATACTTGATTCTGTATTCTTTAAAAGGGGCGGTACCAGAAGGCAGGTAGGGGGTGGACCCAAGGGACGGTACTCAGAGGAGGGTAGGGGGGAGGAGACAAGGGGGGACTCAGAAAAGGGGAGTTCCTGCACCTATTCTCTGATAAAAAAAGCCCTGATTGTATCTACATCTTTTTTTACACAGGGTGGCCAGCATAGGAGGGGAAAGGGCAGGGGCGGACAGACCAGTTGGAAACTCTGGCAGTGCCCGAGGGCCCGGGGTCAGTAGGGGGCCCCATGAGATGCCCCTGGTACCTTTTTCATAGGCTTTTTTGAGTTTGGGCAAGGACACAGGGGCCCCATGATCTCCTATTGCCCGGGGGCCCCATAAGTTGTCAGTCCGCCCCTGGGAAAGGGGACATCTTTAGGACTAGTTATGTTTAGGCTGAAGTTCTACTGTGAGTACAGTTGTTACCTGGCACAGCTGAGGGTCCCATCAAGTATTGGAGGCTTCTGCCATGGCAATGTACAAAAACAGTGTAATTATGGCCAACTTTCCAAATATGTTAAAAGTGACCACCCCGACGAGGTGGTAGATTCAATAATTAGACTGCTTTACATGGCACAGAAAGTGATTGCCCAAAAATGGATGTCGTCCTATTCTTCAACGACAGTGGAGTGGGAAAACCAAGCAAATATTGTTATTTTCCGCGAAAAGCTCATATATAGGAATTCTACCCGAACATTTGATAGGGTACAATTTCATATACAGGCATACAGTACCTCAGGTTACGAATTTAATGCGTTGTCCGGGATGTTTCATATTGTGAAAAATTCGTAAACCGAAGCACGGTTTTCCATAGGAATGCACTGAAAACCAATTAATCTGTTCCGGAGGTCAGAAAAAAGTAAAAAAAAAAAGTCTTTTATCTGTTCAAAACTCTTTCTAAAATGCACTTTAAAGGCATAAATACTGTACAGGGACATGATTAAAAAAATGTGTAAATGCATTGAAAACCAATTAATCCGTTCCGGAGGTCAGAAAAAAGTAAAACAAAGTTTTGACTGTTCAAAACTATTTATAAAGTGCACTTTAAAAGGCACAGGGCCTCCCAGGCGCAAAGCATCCTGGGAAAACTTACTTCATATTGCAAAAAAAAATTTGTAAACCGAGGCATTTATATCAATGGATTTTCATTCGTAAACCGAAAATTACGTTAACCGAGGCGTTCACAAACTGAGGTACGCCTGTATAGAAATTGTACCCAAAATGTGATAGATGGGACACCTTGACTGGCAGTACCTGGTCTGGCTCCATTCACCTGATCTCAGACAGCCTATTGTCCCTTTGAGTACGGAGTACTTATGTTCAGTGCCTTGGCTATTGTGACTCCCTCTTCCTTGGCCTACCTAATCGCAGGCTATCCCCTCTTCAGTCTATCATGAATGCTGCTGCCAGACTCATCCACCCTACTAACCATTCCATATCTGCCATTTCTTTGCCAATCCCTCCACTGGCTTCCCATTGCCCAACGAGAAAAATTCAAAACATTAACAATAACATATAAAGCCATTTATAACTCTGCTCCAAATAACATCACCAATCTTGTCTCCAAATATCACCCAAACCGTCCTCTCCGCTCCTCCCACAACCTCCTGCTCTCTAGCTCCCTTGTCTCCTCCTCCCATGCTCATCTCCAGGACTTCTTCAGAGCCTCCCCCATCCTCTGAAGCTCTCTACCCCAATCTATCAGACTATCGCTCTACCCACTCTGCCTAGTCTTCAGAGAAGACTATCCGGCCTTCAGCTAATAATAGAATCTTCTATTCCTCCTACCAGTCCACCCCCCACAGTTATTACCTTTAGTACCACTAGCCCCTCCCTCTAGATTGTAAGCTCCAAGGATCAGGGCCCTCCTATCCCTCTTGTATTGAACTGTATTGCTGCTGTATTGTCTCCCTTATATTGTAAAGCGCTGAGCAAACTTTTGGTGCTATATAAATCCTGTATAATAATAATAATGTTCATTCAAAGTCTTGATATACTTTCTTGGAAAGGTCATGCAGCAATATGAGGACTATGAAACCGATAAGCTTCCCGGTCTATTTGTGCAAGTTAAGTTGAGTTAGGTTAAGTTTATTAGCAGGGGGACCATTTGGAAACTCGGGCACTGCCCGAGGGCCGGGGTCAGTAGGGGGCTCCATGAGATGCCCCTGGTACGTTTTTCATAGGCTTTTGTGAGCTTGGGCAAGGACACAGGGGCCCCATGATCCCCTATTGCCCGGGGGCCCCATGAGTTGTCTGTCCGCCCCTGGTTATTAGCTATCTACAGGTTCCCGCTCATACAATGTACCTTCTTTACCTGGAAAGTATAAATGAATCGGCTGTAATTTTATGTTATTGCTATCAAACGAGCCAAAGTCTGCTGATTACGGGTACCCATATGCTTACGGAAATTATTATTCATGACTTTGTTTGGATTACTTGAATTGTCCCTGTATGTTTTCATACCTTTCTTATATTGTTGTGTGTAAAGTGCAGCTTGTGCGGTTGTGTGTTTAAAACTAAACTTTAATAAAAAGGCAAAAAAAAGTGACCACAAACACAAATCAACAATTTTTTTTTTTTACACAGTCTTTCCAATAATTTTATTTGGTTATGTTTTCAACCCTTGGCAATATAGGGCACACTCTGTAAATATCTCCTTCACAAGCAGAACGATGTCAGTTATATTTACATTTTATTTATTATCCTTTTTAGTAAAAATTTAAACTACAAAACAAAACTACCAGTATTGCATAGATTATCCGGAAATGGCCAAAGATATATGTATCCATTTGTTGAAGTGTAGCAATGTGACGATTATCCAAATATTCAACAACTCAAAATTGATATTTTATTTTGGGTGGACAGAACCAACTTCTGCTTTATATCTCTTGGTGTCTCCTTTGGTGAGGTCTCAAATAGTTGTTGCCAGTTATTTCATTCGGCATGAGATCGAACAATAGGAATTAGGTCTTGTCATAATGGTCAGGCATGGTGGGCTATCTTGGGAACTCAGGTGTGGAGATCTTCTTAATGGAGTCCCCAAGATATGTAAGTAGTTAGTGTGTGATTCAACAGGTCACCCAAAACATAAAGCCAAGCTGTAACAGTGGAAATACGGAAGGTTCTATTCCTAGATGGGGGGCTAGGGGCTAACAAACTCATCCTGTGATTGACCTGGACCAAACTCCAGTCATTGGCCTGTACCAAGTCTTCAGACTGGGGAATCCTTCATCTACGGGCTTCATACTTGTTCTAAGCCAGTGATTTACTATGCTTAGAAATAAAGATTATGGTGCCCATACACTAGATGAAAAATTGTTAAAAAATCTGTCATTTGGACAGTTTGTTCATTTTTTTTGTCCAATTAATGGACAAAAATAAAAATCAGCAGTAACGTTTTTGAGCCAAAAAAATCAAAGGAAAAGTTTGGAAAACTTCTGCCGAATGGACGATAAATGCCCAAGATTGAACTAATAGTACTGCGCATATGAAGCAAAAAACAACTAGTGTATGGCTAGCATTAGAATGGCGAACTTACAGCTTGTAGTAGTGTTAGCTAAAATATTTCTAACTTGACAAGTTCCTTTTAAATATTAAGTAAATAAAATTAACTTTGTGTAGGATTATTTAGGGCCTTAGAATGTAGGAAAACATTCAGCTGACCCTATCTTTGCAAGCTAGTCTTGATTAGAGGTCAGGAAGGAGCATATATTTTCAAAATTGGTGGAGAAATTTTGCCCAGATATGGCACAAATTAGGGCATGGCTTTGGAGACTCTCGCAAGGATCCAAGGTCCCAAATATAGATCTTCAGTTGCTGGCGGCAGATTCGTATTCATGAGGGCCCAGTACTCATGTCAGTAATAATTGTGTAAATCCAAAAGCACCATTATTGGTAGGAACAGATGATGGTTAGGAGCCTTAGAACCACCAGATGTGTCTGTTAGCTGATTTCAATGTAGATGCCCAGGCTGTCATCAGTTCTTCTGTTGAAAAGATAATGCACTGTCAGTTGTTATTACTACAGTGTAAGTCCATTGCTTGATACTTTATAGTCATGTAGGTCCATTCCAGGAAATTCCCCGGGCATTGATCCATAGCTACATCATTCCATTCAGTTTGGTCCATTCATAAATGTCCTGCTCACAGACAATGTCTGAGTTTATAAGAAGGTACCGGTCACCCACACAGAAGTGTTTCTGACATGCTGCACATTTGAAGCACTCCAGATGATAGACTTTGTCCTTCACCCGCATGGTCATCTCGTACGCCCTGATCCGTTTGTCGCAGGACGCACAAAGCCCATCCTGACCGAAAAGTCTGCAACAGAAATTATAAAACACATTTTAGGATGCTGAAAATGAACCTGACATGGGAGAGATACAAGGGCAGCCAAATATGCTGACCTGTTGTTTTTAATACTGCAGTATCAGTAATTGGGAACAAACACGATTAGGAAACTCAGGGATCCTTATGTGCTTACTTGTTCCCAGTCAATGACTCAAAATATTGAAGCAAAAAGGATCAGCGTGACAAAAAGGCAGCTAGCATTTTTAAAAGGAGAGGTCATCATTGGCAGTCTCCATTACAGCCTTCTTTTAACAGACATGTAAGTACAGATGAGGGAAAAGACTAACATATTAATGAAGAATTTAGTAGACTTTCTGTCCAATCGTTCCAAATCATGGTAATTGACTAGAACACGTTAAGCTTTAGGAACCATTATCTTGGCTACCTGGGTTATGGAATTGCCTGCCACTGAAGGAAAGTTTAGATTGTGCAGTGGAAATTGTGGCCAGGACAGGGCCGTCCAGGGGTGGACTGACAACTCACGGGGCCCCCGGGCAATAGGGGGATCATGGGGCTCCTGTGTTCTCGCCCACACTCAAACCACACCCAGAAAAGCCTATGAAAGGTACTAGGGCATCTCATGGGGCCCCCTACTGACCCAGGGCCCTCAGGCAGTGCCCAAGTTCCCAAATGGTCAGTCCGCCCCTGGGGCCGTCCTAATAGCATCATAGGCCCCTGGGCAAAGTAATGCACTGGGGCCCCTACCGGCTTTCCCCATTTGAGCACCTACTCTCAAGAATGAAAGTATAAATAGTTGATAGAATTAAACATAGTGTGAGTGGGTTATGAGAGCGAAATGTGGGTGGGTTATCAGGGCACAGTACATGGGGCAGTAGTCTACAATACAGAAACGGTTTCCTCAAACAGAGCTGCGCAGGGAAGCTGCTGGCACAGAGGTTACTGGTTCTAACATGCTGGCTATGGGCTAAACATACAATTGAGAATGAAATCTCCACTCTTTACCTTCCCTTGTTTTGGAAGAATGCCCCAAGGTATAGCATTTTACTGCCTGTGCTTGTGTGAGCGGGATGTGTATTGCTCCAATCCCCAATGGTCCTCCTGTCCTGTCTATCTCAGGTGCTTACATCACAGGGACAGGAAAGGAGCGCAGGTGGGGACAGGAGCAATACACAGGGGGGTGAACTATCACCAGAAACTTTCACTTTGACCTGAATAGGTAGGTGACAGTGTCTGACCGAGGGGTTTTCTTTAAACACAACGGGAGTGATTTACTAAAGGCAAATAGTCTTGTACTCTGTAAGTGCAGTTGCTTCAGAGCTTAGTAAATGAGGTAAAGCTTCCCTTTGCCAAGAATAACCAACCACATGCAAGGAAAACAAAAAAAAACAGCATTTTTGTTTGCACATGATTGGATGATGGAAGTTGGCAAAGCTTCTGCTCATTTACTAAGCTCTGAAGCAACTGCACTTTGCAAAGTGCACAGTCTACTTGTCTTTAGTAAATCAACCCCAATGTTTCAGCTACAAATTGTAGTAGTCCTTGCTTATTACTATGAGCTCTGCAACCCATCCTGATTAACTAATGTACCTGTATGGGTGGGTCACACTGTCACATCATATACCAGGGGTCTCCAAACTTTCTAAACAAAGGGCCAGTTTACTGCTCAGACTTAGGAGGGCCAATGGGAGAAGAATATGTTCATCATAAGAATATACCAAGGAGGAGTAGTCTCACATTGGTGCCCCATCATTGGTGTCAGTGGGAGGAATAGTGCCCCATCATTGGTGTTAGTGGGGGGAATAGTGCCCCGTCATTAGTATTAGTGGGAGGAATAGTGCCCCATCATTGGTGTTAGTGGGAAGAATAGTGCCCTATCATTGGTATTAGTGGGATGAATAGTGCCCTGTCATTGGTTATTAGTTGGAGGAATAGTGCCCTGTCATTGGTGTTAGTGGGAGGAATAGTGCCCCATCATTGGTATTAGTTGGAAGAATAGTGCCACGTCATTGGTATTAGTTGGAAGAATAGTGCCCCATCATTGGTATTAGTTGAAGGAACAGTGCCCCATCATTGGTATTAGTTGGAGGAACAGTGCCCCATCATTGGTATTAGTGGGAGGAATAGTGCCCTGTCATTGGTGATAGTGGGAGGAATAGTGCCCTGTCATTGGTGATAGTGGGAGGAATAGTGCCCTTCATGTCATTGTGATAGTGGGAGGAGGAATAGTGCCCCATCATTGGTGATAGTGGGAGGAATAGTGCCCTGTCATTGGTGATTAGTGGGAGGAATAGTGCCCCATCATTGGTATTAGTTGGAGGAATAGTGCCCCATCATTGGTATTAGTTGGAGGAATAGTGCCCCATCATTGGTATTAGTTGGAAGAATAGTGCCCCGTTATTGGTATTAATAGTGTAGTTGGAGGAATAGTGCCCCATCATTGGTATTAGTTAGAGGAATAGTGCCCAATCATTGGTATTAGTTGGAGGAATAGTGCCCAATCATTGGTATTAGTTGGAGGAATAGTGCCCAATCATTGGTATTAGTTGGAGAAATAGTGCCCTATCATTGGTATTAGTTGGAGGAATAGTGCCCTATCATTGGTATTAGTTGGAGGAATAGTGCCCCATCATTGGTATTAGTTGGAGGAATAGTGCCCCCGTTTGGTATTATTGGAGGAATAGTACCCCGTTATTGGTATTAGTTGGAGAAATAGTGCCCTGTCATTGGTATTAGTTGGAGGAACAGTTCCCCATCATTGGTGTTAGTGGAAGGAATACAGTAGTGCCCCGTCATTGGTATTAGTGGGAGGAATAGTGCCCCGTCATTGGTATTAGTGGGAGGAATAATGCCCCATCATTGGTGTCAGTGGGAGGAATAGTGCCCTGTCATTGGTGTCAGTGGGAGGAATTGTGCCCCGTCATTGATATTAGTTGAAGGAATAGTGCCCCGTCATTGGTATTAGTTGGAGGAACAGTGCCCCATCCTTGGTGTCAGTGGGATGAATACTGCCCCATCATTGGTGTCAGAGGAAGGAATAGTTCCCCATCCTTGGTATTAGTTGGATGATATAGTGCCCCATCCTTGGTATTAGTTGGAGGAATAGTACCTAATTGCTTACATCAGTGGGAGGAATTGTGCCCCATCATTGGTGTCAGTGGAAGGAAAAATGCCCCATAGTTGGTGCCAGTGGAAGAAATCGTGCCTCCTTGTTTGTGTCAGTGGGAGGAATAGTACCCTGAGGGCCAAACAGAGGCAAGCAAAGGGCCGCATTCGGCCCACAGGCCACAGTTTGGAGACCACTGTCATATACTATAAAATCTGTACAATCCATGATGCAAGATTTACAATCCATCTCTTTTTTTGCATCCCATATGTGGGACCACGTGAATGTTTTACCTCTTGTAAAGAATAGGGGTGTACAAATTGATGTGCTTACAGTTCAGTCACCACTGTAAGTGTATAACATGGTAAATGTCTATATATCATTACTAACTGATATTTATTCCTTTCCTCCTGCCTCTATAAAAACAATGGCCTTACCTGAGATAATCTCTTCGGCACAGTTTGCGCCCCAGTTTGTAGTAGAGTCTTCTCCCGACCTCTCCTAAGCGGCAGCCACACAAGTCGCAGCTCAGGCAGTCCTCGTGCCAATATTGGTCTATGGCCTTTAAGAAGTAGCGGTCCCCGATATTTTGTTGGCAACCCCCACATGTCAGTAGTGAGGGTGGAATTTGCAGGACCTCGTCCACTGGCTCACTATAGGAAGAAAATGAGTTACATAATTCAAAATGTAAATCCGCAATGCAAAACATTCTAGAAAACAAACTTAATGATAAAACTATATTGTGTGAACGGGAGTATTTTATCTCTGTAGTCATTGCTAGTTTCTTTCAGCATTCCTCTATGATATGTAACTCTTTTAGGTTACATCATGTATATATGCTACATCGTGCCGACAGGCATCAAAATGGGCATTTAGCATGCATTAATGACATCTGCCAAGGGCTCCTTGATGCCCAAGGCAGGAAAATGGCTCAGTAGAGAGAAGCAGGAATGAGAAAATCAATCCACATGCAAGTAAAATCCCAAACTTTTCATGTTGCCTAAAGATATTCATGCAGACATCTCCAATCTGGGGAGAACCATACCATCAGGATTGTCTGGATCTTAAATTGCGTGACTCTCTACATGTCAGACAAATTTGCATGGAAACTTACAGCACAGGCGAATTTATCAAGTATTTCAATTTGCAATTGATTGGTTCATTTCTATTGAAGTGCTTGACTAAGCTCTGTATTTTTTGTTTTGTTTTGCTGTCCCATGCTCAGATTGTAGAGCATGCAGTAATTCTTTAGCAGGGGTGTCAAACTGACGGCCCTCCAGCTGTTGTGAAACTACAAGTCCCATCATGCCTCTGTCTTTGGGAGTCATGCTTGTAACTGTCAATCTTGCAGTGCCTCATGGGACTTGTAGTTTGGCAACAGCTGGAGACCTGCCAATTTGACACCCGTGTTCTTCAGTATACATTCCTTCTTAAAGCGGAGCTCCACCCAAAAGCGGAAGTTCCGCTTTAAGGACTGCTCCCCCACTCCCTATTAAGGATTGGCACCTTTGGGGGGTGGGGGGGGGAGCGGGCACCCAAATTTGACAGGTACCTGCTCCCACTTCTGGTCCGATCGCCACGGAAGGTGTCCTCCTTCCTTCCCTGTAGTCTTTTGGGACAGGTGACAGGTCACAGAAGACAACAGGACCGTTCATGAAGCGCAGCGCTACTCCCGCATGCACAGTGGGCACCCGGCTGTGAAATGCCGGCCTCCTGGAATACAGGACGGCTGGTGAAACAGGCTGTAGGGGACACCCTGTGGGACTGAGGGACAGGTAAGTGGCTGTTTTTTTAAAGTCAGCAGCTACAGTTTTTTGTAGCTGCTGACTTTTATTTTTTGACAGGGTGAGTGGAACTCCACTTTAACCAATCACACCACAAAGCTATTCCTGATCATCTCTTGCCTCGACTATTACAACTCTCTCCTTATTGGCCGACCTCTACACAGGCTATCCCCCCTGCAGTCTATCACGAATGCTCATCCACTTTGCCAACCGTTCCATGTCCACCACCCCTCTCTGCCGATTCCTCCACTGGCTTCAGCTCACCCCAAAAATTAAATTCACAACACTTAAAAAAAAGCCATCCACAACTCTGCCCCCAGCTACATCACCAACCTTATCTCAAAATATCATCCAAACCTAACGTTAGATTACCATTTTTAGCTGATAATTATTATTATTATTATACAGGATTTATGTAGCGCCAACAGTTTGCTCAGCGCTTTACATTATGGAGGGAGACAGTACAGTAACAATACAGTTCAATACAAGAGGGATTAAAAGGCCCTGCTCCTTGGAGCTTACAATCTAGGAGGGAGGGGATAGAGGTACAAGAGGTAATTAGCTGTGGGGGATGGAGTGGTAGGAGGAGTAGTTGATTCCAGTATTAGCTGGGGTCGGGGTAGGCTTCCCTGAAGATATGGGTTTTCAGAGTGCGCCTAAAGGTGAGCAGAGTAGGTGATAGCCTGATAGCTTGGGGTAGGGAGCTCCAGAGGATGGGTGAAGCCCTTGAGAAATCCTGGAGACGAGCATGGGAGGAGGAGACAAGGGAGCAAGAGAGTAGGAGGTCTTACGAGGAGTGGAGAGTACGGTTTGGGTGGTATTTAGAGACAAGGTCGGTGATGTGATTAGGGGCAGTGTTATGAACGGCTTTATACGTCAGTTGTTCAGTGATAATCATGTTGCCCTTCATCAGGAACATTTCTAGATTGTGAGGTTGAATGAGCAGGGCCCTTCTAACCCTCTTGTCCTGAATGGTATTGTAAGTGTACTGTCTCCCATTTTTTGTAAAGCATCATGCAGTCTGTTGGCAGTATATGAATTCTGTATGATATTAAAAATATTGCCCACTTCAAGCAGGATACCCACTACAAATATGGAGGACACAGAGGGGTTGATTTACTAAAGTTTACAACAGTTTACAGCCGCCTTTCGTAATCTTTTTTCACTCACGTGGGGTAACCCTTGAAACAGCTTAACAAGCTCAGGGAACCCCTGCTAATATTTACTATCATTGAGAATAATGGCGTCATTGAGGATAATGCCCCTTGCATTAGACGTCATTGGGACAGCTAGAAAGATCATTAGTGTCAGTTGTTACTCATCGGAAAGGTGGAAGTTGCTCATTGCTCAAGGAACCCCTATCAACCTCTGGAGAAACCCTAGAGTTCTATGGAACCCTGGTTGAGAAAGGCTGGTTTACAAATATTGAAGATTGGTTTACAATACAGATATTTCTACAGTGTCAGCTGGAATCAGCTCATGTGGAAGGCTAATCACAGCTCTTACAGCAAAGATCCCTTTCCTTCTGTTGAAGTTTAATGTCTTTTCCTCGAGTTGCAAAAGTGTTTGTGTTGGCTTGTTAAGTCTTTGTTGTTAAGTCTATTAACATTGCTTCATGGCCACGGCATTTTTAACATTTTTAAATAAAATTTGTCAAGCAGCACCGCCTCTCAAACTTGCCCATTGAATTCAATGCGGATGTGCCGCAACCGTGTGCAGTGCACTCGATTATGATGTGGTAGTGCGGCTTTACAGGGTTGAATCAGGCGAGGAGATGATATAATGCTTTCTTACGGCCTGTCAAATGCCATCTAAAAAGCAATCTCAATATGGATCACTCTTCAGGGGGCACCGCAAGTCTGAAAGAGCCCTTAAAAATGTCTACTTGCAGCGCCAGCTGCTGGTGAAAACTGGAAGTGCAGCACGACAATAAAATACATTGGTTTTCTGCAAATAAATTTCACCACTTGGATTCTAGTTTTTCCAAGCCACATAGGCAGTGGTGGGACAAGGCGCTGTAGAACCTAAGGCAAAAAGGCCAAAGTGCCCCTCCCTCAGGGGCAGACTGACTATTCGAGCACTCGGGCACTGCCCGAGTGCCCGGGGTCAGTAGGGGGCCCCATAAAATGCCCCTGGTACCTTTTATAGGCTTTTTTGGGTGTGTTTTGAGTGTGGACAAGGACACAGGGGCCCCATGATCCCCAATTGGCCGGGGGGCCCATGAGTTGTCAGTCCGCCCCTGCCCTCCCTAGATATTAACATCTACATAGGGTTCAAGTCTTGCTTTTTTTGTGGTCCTCTCCTGTTGAAGTACCCAATGTGGCCATCTCTTCTACCTACCCCTTGGCCTGGCCCTGCATGAAAGAAAGGGTTGTGTTAAAGGGAGCTGTTATAGGGGCTGTATCTAGATGGGTTCCATCAGCACAAGGGATTAGTATTTCTTGTGGAAGACCCCTTGTTTTGAAAAAAATGTGTCATAAAACAAATATATTTATGCCATTACTGACCGCCTTTTGAAAATGCTAGTTACCTGGGCTGACTGGCTGATCAGTTTAGCATCAGTCCTTTCTGCTGCTCTGACCATTGACAAGCTTGCAGAATCTGACGTTGTGAATAATTGTCCCTTATCCAGGGGCGGACTGACAACTCAAGGGGCCCCTGGGCAATAGGGGATCATGGGGCCCCTGTGTCCTTGCCCAAACTCAAAAAAGCCTATGAAAAAGGTACCAGGGGCATCTCATGGGGCCCCCTACTGACCCTGGGCCCTCGGACAGTGCCGCCCCTGCCCTTATCAACAACTTAGAAAGCACTGAAGCCAGTTGATTAGCATGACAGCCAGGCAACTTGCATTTTTCAGAGGAAGAGGTCAGCAGTGGCAGCCTACATATTTTTTAATGTACAGAACAGTCCACCTAACAAACATTTCAGTTTTTGGTAAATGGTGGTCAGCTATATGGAACTTGTCAGCATAGAGGTTACCTGGCACAGTCAAGGCTTCCATCCAGTGCTGGAGGTGGTCATTTCAAGGAGCATTAAACCCAAAAGTAAACATTTATTATATTGCAGCTTACCAATTCTTAGATGTGGTGGCTGCATTTGTTTTCTTTTTTAGGCTTTCCTTCTTCTATTTTCATCAGGTGATCTGGCCAATAAGTCTGCTGCAAATAATTTTATAATAAATAATAAAAAAAGAACAAGTTCTCAAGCAGAATGTATCAGTTGCACGAATGAAACCATTCAACACTGACAGGAGTGGTTACAATGATCAGCTTTTATTTATTCATATAAAACCTTTATCCCAAAAGGAAAAAAAGACTGTATGCTGTAACTGATTATAACGTATTAGCTGGAGTTCAAATTCAATTTGTTAGTGTATTTAAATCTGCTAGCAGGGGCAGACTGACAACTCATGGGGCCCCTGAGCAATAGGGGATCATGGGGCCCCTGTGTCCTTGCCCGAACTCAAAAAAGCCTATGAAAAAGGTACCAGGGGCATCTCATGGGGCCCCCTACTGACCCCGGGCCCTCGGGCAGTGCCCGAGTTTCCAAATGGTCAGTCCACCCCTGTCTGCTAGTATATTTAACACTCTCCTCCCCCCAAACTGACAATGTTGCTGTCCAGAGGTGCCCCCTGTGCTCCTTCATCCAGAGTGGGGACAGGAGGTGTGTTACTGGCCAGATCACCAGGTGAAAACAGAGGGAGAAAAGCCTGGAAAAAAAGAAAGCTAATGCAGCCACCACATCATCGCTACATGAATAAATAAAAGCTGATCATTGATTACATTGTAAGCACCAAAGAACAGGGCCCTCCTAACCCTCCTGTATTGAACTGTATTGTTGCTGTATTGTCTCCCTTTATATTGTAAAGCTCTGAGCAAACTGTTGGCGCTATATAAATCCTGTATAATAATAATTGTAAGCAGTCCTGTCAGTGTTCAATGGTTTGCCTCATTCCTATGATGACATATTCTGTTGGAGAGTTTGTTATTTTGGAAAACAGCAGACTTATTGGCCAGATCACCAGATGAAAATAGAAGAAGGAAAGCCTTAAAAAGAAAACTAATGCAGCCACCACATCTAAGGATTGGTAAGCTGCAATATATTACATTTTTGGTTTTGGGTTTATTACCGCTTTTATTGGTTTTTGTTCTTATTCAACACACAATAAACAGAAGCAGCAGCCTACGTATCTCTCTCTCTAATGGGTTGTTGGGATGTTGTATACCAGAGCAGTAAATGAGACACAAGCCAATGGAGCTCTCTTCTGAGGAACTACATCCCTCAGCATGTCCTGCCAGATACAGCAGTTTATCAAAACTAGATTCCCACCATCCAATGCTTTCATTATCATTTGACAGATACAGGGGCGGACTGACAACTCATGGAGCCCCCCGGGCAATAGGGGATCATGGGGCCCCTGTGTCCTTGCCCAAACTCAAAAAAGCCTATGAAAAAGGTGCCAGGGGCATCTCATAGGGCCCCCTACTGACTCCGGGCCCTCGGGCAGTGCCCGAGTTTCCAAATGGTCAGTCCGCCCCTGCACAGATACCAACATTAAAAGCAGCCTTTCTCAACAAGGGTCCTGTGGAACCTCAGGGTTGTTCCTGTGGTTAGTAGGGGTTCCGTGAGCAGCGAGCAACGGCAAATTGATCTCCTACCTACACTGACCACCCATGACACAAGGCATGTCTACAATGACCATTAATGTTAAGAGATACTACAATTCCTGTTCATATTATAATTCATGTAGAAATTGTCACTAAAAAGGTTGTACTGGGCAGGACGGTCCAAAAAGTGATCTGCCCAGGGTGTCAAATATGCTAGGTATAAATGATTATTTATTTTTTTATAATAAACCTTCTTTTACAAGTCAGCAATCAGTTTAAAAGGACCTGAAAAAATATTTCAAGGCTTCCTCCAAGGCAGGGGCGGACTGACCATTTGGAAACTCAGGCACTGCCCAAGGGCCCGGGGTCAGTAGGGGGCCCCATGCGATGCCCCTGGTACCTTTTTCATAGGCTTTTTTGAGTTTGGGCAAGGACACAGGGGCCCCATGATCCCCTATTACCCGGGGGGCCCCATGAGTTGTCAGTCCGCCCCTGCTCCAAGGTTGAAAGGTTAAGAAAGACTCATTTATAATAACTTGCAAGACCACATTGCTGTTAAAAAAGATTGTCCCTATGGTAGTTACACTGCCACCACCACTACCACCACTGTGATGCACTTTATTCCCATCAATGCATATGGACTACAAAAATGACATCTACTAACATTTTAAATACTAAATTTAAAATAAGGTCGTATAGAGAGAGCTGAATGTTCAAAGGTTGAGAAAGGCTGATTTAAAACAACTTCCAAGACCACATCACTGGTGGAAATTATGTCCCTGCTGTAGTTACCATGTCACCACCACCACCATGATGCACTTTATTCCCTTTATGGCATAGAGACTACTCAAATACACCTACTAAGATTTTAAATACCGATTTTAAAGTAAGATTGGGTAGAGAGAACTAAAAGTAGAAAGGTTGAGAAAGGCTGATGTAAAATAACTTCCAAGACCACATTGCTATTGAAAATGATTGTCCCTATGATAGTTACAATCAGGGGCGGACTGACCATTTGGAAACTTGGGCAATGCCTGAGGGCACGGGGTCAGTAGGGGGCCCCATGAGATGCCCCTGGTACCTTTTTCATAGGCTTTTTTGAGTTTGGGCAAGGATACAGGGGCCCCATGATCCCCTATTGGCTGGGGGCCCCATGAGTTGCCAGTCCGCCCCTGGTTACAATACCACCACTGTGATAGACTTTATTCCCATTATTGCAAATAGACTACACATATACTGTACACCTATTAGCATTTTAAATTCCTTTTGTAAAATAAGCTTGGATAAAAAGGATTGAAAGATGAAAGGTTAGGAAACGCTGATTTAAAATAACTTCCAAGACCACATTGCTTCTGAAAATGATGTTCCTGCTGTAGTTATAATACCACCACCGTGATGCACTTTATCCTCAGTATTGAAAATGGACTACACATATACTGTCCACCTATTAAAAAATGTTTTTCAAAGAAGGTTGGGCAGAAAGAACTAAAAGTAGAAAGGTTGAGAAAGGCTGATTTAAAATAACTTCCAAGACCACATTGCTGCTGAAAATGATGCCCCTGCTGTAGTTACAATGTCACCACCACCACCACCACCACCGTGATGCACTTTACTCCCATTATGGCATATAGACTACTCAAATACAAATACATCTACTAAGATTTTAAATACAGGTTTTAAAATAAGATTGGGTAGAAAGAAGTAAAAGTAGAAAGCTTGAGAAAGGCTGATGTAAAATAACTCCCAAGACCACATTGCTACTGAAAATGATTGTCCCTCTGATAGTTACAATGCCACCACTACCACCACCACAGTTATGCACTTTACTCCCATTATTGCAAACGGACTACACATATACTGTACACCTATTTGCATCTTAAATACTTATTGTAAAACAAGTTTGGAAAGAAAGGACTGAAGTTGAAAGGTTAAGAAATGCTGATTTAAAATACCTTCCAAGACCACATTATAACTACAGCAGGAACATCATTTTCAGAAGCAATGTCGTCACCACCACCGTGATGCATTGTATTCCCGTTATGACATGTGGGTTACACAAATACATCTAGCATTTGAAATACTTATTGTAAAATAATGTTGGGTAGAAAGAACTGAAGGATGAAAGGTTGAGAAAGGCTGATTTAAGATAATTTCCAAGACTACATTGCTGCTGAAAATGATGTTCCTGCTGTAGTTATAATGCCACCACTACCACCAGCACCGTGATGCACTTTATCCTTGGTATTGCATATGGACTACACATATACTGTACATCTATTAAAAACTTATTTTAAAAGACAGTTGGATAGAAAGAACTGAAAGTTGAAAAATTAAGAAAGGTTGTTTTAAAATAACTCCCAAGACCACATTGTTACTGAAAATGATGTTCCTGCTGTAGTTACAATGTCACCACCACCACCGTGATGCACTCTACTCCCATTATGGCATATAGACTACTCAAATACATCTACTAAGATTTTAAATACTGATTTTAAAAGAAGGTTGGGTAGAAAGAACTAAAAACAGAAAGGCTGATCTACAATAACTCCTAAGACCACATTGCTGTTGAAAATGATTGTCCCTTTGATAGTTACAATGCCACCACCACCACCACCACCACCACTACTGTGATGCACTTTATTCCCACTACTGCCGATTTTAAAATACGATTGGGTAGAGAGAACTAAAAGCAGAAAGGTTGAGAAAGGCTGATGTAAAATAACTCCCAAGACCACATTGCTGCTGAAAATGATTGTCCCTATGACAGTTACACTGCCACCACTACCACCACAGCGATGCACTTTACTCCCATTATTGCAAATGAACTACACATTTACTGTACACCTATTAGCATCTTAAATACTTACTGTAAAACAAGTTTGGATAGAAAGGCCTGAAGGTTGAAAGGTTAAGAAATGCTGATTTAAAATACCTTCCAAGACCACATTGCTTCTGAAAATGATGTTCCTGCTGTAGTTACAATGTCACCACCACCACCGTGATGCACTTTACTCCCGTTATGACATATAGACTCCTCAAATACATCTACTAAGATTTTAAATACTGATTTTAAAAGAAGGTTGGATAGAAAGAACTAAAACCAGTAAGGCTGATCTACAATAACTCCCAAGACCACATTGCTGTTGAAAATGATTGTCCCTTTGATAGTTACAATGCCACCACTACCACCACCACCACCACTACTGTGATGCACTTTATTCCCACTATTGCAAATGGACTACACATATACTGTACACCTATTAGCATTTTGAATTCCTTTTGTAAAATAAGGTTGGGTAGGAAGAACTAAAAGCAGAAAGGTTGAGAAGGGAGTTATTTTAAATCAGCCTAAGACCACATTGCTGCTGAAAATGATGTCCCTGGTATAGTTACAATGTCACCACCGCCGCCGTGATGCACTTTATTCGCATTATGTCATACGGATTACTCAAATACATCTATTAGCATTTTAAATACTTAGTTTAATATAAGGTCAAATAGGACTGAGTGTAAAAAAAAATCAATGTTCCATCTCAGGGCATTTCAAGGGACAAGAAATTCCAGCTGCAGACCTCTACAATCCAGGTGTTCCTGGAAACCAAGGACAGTCGGTACACCTCCGCCAGCCTATTTTAATATAATGTGTCCCCCCCCCTCCTCCTCTATGAATCGCTTGCCCAAATGGTCAGCGATCGCCTGTATTTTCATTCGCCCACCACCACCACCTTCAACAATGAGACCCCAGCCAGGCTTACTCTGCAGGGTCCAGGCTCTTCCTCTCGATGGGTGCTGACATTTGCTCGCTCCTGTGTATTGTCCTCTGTACAGTGTGTTGTCTTGGCTCCTGTAGGTCCTGGCTAATTTATACAGACACAGGTCCATGCAAGGCTATCCCCCCCCCCGTAGCAGATCTGCCTCCCCCCCACCCCCCCAGAGTCCCCAGCGTCAGATGCCAAGTGCCCGCTCTCCATCACCGTGCTGCCACATCTGTATTCCTGGCAGCTGCCCGAGTCCTGTGGCCAAGAAGGAAGGTCTGAGAGAGAAGCCTGTGTCACTGTCACTTATATAGGCAATTGCTGTCTCCTTTGCAGCATTGACTATTTTAGCTCAGCCCCTCTGCTTTCATTTCCTTTTTCCTGATCACCATTCAAATACAATAGAAGGAAATGGCATTTAAAGGCACAGCTGCTCACTTCTCTCTGGCCCTCCTGGGCACTGGGATTACACCGCAGCTCCACTGCAGCTGTCTAACTCATTAACCCCCTGCGTCTCTGCCTGGGGAGGCCAGCCTGGCCTTGTAGACAGCCGCATTGATCTGCCTGTACTGCACAGGTTAATTCTCTTCTGATGGGGGGGGGGGGAGGCAAACAGGTTAATTGAAGGATTCATTTACAGTTAACAGGGGGACTGTGCAATTCACTACCTAGAAGCTTCACTGTAAGTCCTCCTGCACACGGGCCGTTTTTACAGCGCTGTTTTTGGCTTTTAGCGTTTTTTTTTCTATAGCCAGTAAACCCCCCAGCATGTTATCCTATGTGTCCCCCCAGCATGTTATCCTATGTGTCCATCCCCGGCATGTTATCCTATGTGTCCATCCCCGGCATGTTATCCTATGTGTCCATCCCCGGCATGTTATCCTATGTGTCCATCCCCGGCATGTTATCCTATGTGTCCATCCCCGGCATGTTATCCTATGTTCCATCCCCGGCATGTTATCCTATGTGTCCATCCCCGGCATGTTTATCCTATGTGTCCATCCCCGGTGTCCATCCCCGGCGTGTTATCCTATGTGTCCATCCCCGGCATGTTATCCTATGTGTCCATCCCCGGCATGTTATCCTATGTGTCCATCCCCGGCGTGTTATCCTATGTGTGTTATCCTATGTGTCCATCCCCGGCGTGTTATCCTATGTGTCCATCCCCGGCGTGGTGTCCATCCCGTGTTACCCTATGTGTCCATCCCCGGCGTGTTATCCCCGGCATATGTGTCCATCCCCGGCATGTTATCCTGTGTGTCCATCCCCGGCATGTTATCCTATGTGTCCATCCCCGGCATGTTATCCTGTGTGTCCATCCCCGGCATGTTATCCTGTGTGTCCATCCCCGGCATGTTATCCTGTGTGTCCATCCCCGGCATGTTATCCTGTGTGTCCATCCCCGGCATGTTATCCTGTGTGTCCATCCCCGGCATGTTATCCTGTGTGTCCATCCCCGGCATGTTATCCTGTGTGTCCATCCCCGGCATGTGTCCATCCCCGGCATGTTATCCTATGTGTCCTGTGTTATCCTATGTGTCCATCCCCGGCATGTTATCCTATGTGTCCATCCCCCGGCCCTATGTTATGTTATCCTGTGTGTCCATCCCCGGCATGTTATCCTGTGTGTCCATCCCCGGCGTGTTATCCTGTGTGTCCATCCCGGCATGTTATCCCTGTGTGTCCATCCCCGGCATGTTATCCTGTGTGTCCATCCCCTGTGTGTCCATCCCCGGCATGTTATCCTATGTGTCCATCCCCGGCGTGTTATCCTCTGTGTCCATCCCCAGCATGTTATCCTGTGTGTCCATCCCCGGCATGTTATCCCCGGCTATGGCATGTTATCCCATCCCCGGCGTGTTATCCTCTATGTGTCCATCCCCGGCGTGTTACCCTATGTGTATGTTATGTGTCCATCCCCGGCGTGTTACCCTGTGTGTCCCCCGGCATGTATGTGTCCATCCCCGGCATGTTATCCTGTGTGTCCATCTATCCTGTGTGTCCATCCCCGCATGTTATCCTGGTGTGTCCATCCTCCCCGGCATGTTATCCTGTGTGTCCATCCCCGGCATGTTATCCTGTGTGTCCATCCCGGCATGTTATCCTGTGTGTCATCCCCGGCATGTTATCCTGTGTGTCCATCCCCCGGCATGTTATCCCATCCCCGGCATGTTATCCTATGTGTCCATCCCCGCACATCCTAGTGTCCATCCCCTGTAATCAATGTTTTCCTGTGCTGGAAAATCCTAATCCCCGGCACTATGTGTCCATGCACTTCTAGACTGGAATCAATTTTTCTGCTGGAAAAAAAACGCTAGTGGGCTTCTACTGAAAAACGCGTTAAAACGCCACAAACCAGCGTTTTTGGACTTTTTTTTACCCCAAAACCTTTTTTTGGGAATAAAATGCTAAAAACGCAAACGTGGGAAAATGCCGCTAAACGCTAATGCAAAAATGCTAAAAAACACTGAAAAACTCCCGTTTGTAATGTGACTTTACACAGCTAACGTTACCAATTATCAAAATGTTCCGTGTGCATGAAGACTAAGTCCTCATGCACACGGGGCGTTTTTACAGCGGCTGTATTTGGCTTTTGACGTTTTTTTTTCTATAGCCAGTAAACCCCCCAACATGTTATCCTGTGTCCATGCACACATAGACTGGAATCAGCGTTTTTTGGCTGGGAAAAAAAAAAACCCAGGACTAGTGGATTTCTAGAGGAGTTTTTTTAGCTGTGAAAACGCTCTAACACTGAAAATGCGGCAAAAAACGGCATTTTTGGACATTTTTTTGACCCTCAAAAATTTTTTGGGGAAAAAAATGCTACAAAACGCAAATGTGGGAAAACACTAATGCAAAAATGCTAAAAAAACACTGAAAAACTCATTTTTAATGAGACTTTACGCAGCTAATGTTACCAGCGTTATCAAAATGTCCCGTGTGCATGAGGTCTAAGTCCTTATGCACATTGGGCGTTTTTACAGTGGCTGTTTTTGGCATTTGGTGTTTTTTTTTCTACAGCCAGTAAACCCCCCCGGCATGTCATCCTATGTGTCCATGCACACATAGGCTGTAATCAGCATTTTTTGGCTGGAAAAAAACCCAGGACTAGTGGATTTCAAGTGGATTTTAAGTTTTTTAGTTGTAAAAACGCTTAAACGCTGAAAAATGTGGCAAACCGCTGTTTTTGGACTTTTTTTTATCAAAAAAAATGAAACGCAAAAAAAAAACACTGCAAAATGATAAAAAAACACTGAAAAACCTCACATTTTTAACGTGACTTTACACAGCTAACGTTACCAGCGTTATTAAAACGCCCCGTGTGCATGGAGCCTAACACCCCAATCCCACTGGGTGCAACTTGGCATGCGATTTGCATGCCATGCGACTTGCAAATCATATGCCAAGTTTCACCCTATTGTCCGTTATTACAGCGGTCATAACAATGCGGTTCCGACTTGGTCGGAGCCACACCAATTTCTAAAGCAGTACATGCACTACTTTTCGTGCGACCTGCATAGACATCTGTGTCAGATGTCTTGCAAATCGCACTTGAAATTGGCATGTCCCCCGACTTTGAAATCGTGCGACTTTACTCCCCTCTCCCCAAACTGGCAATGCTGCTGTCCAAAGGTGTTGCTCCTCCTGCCAGAGTGTAGGCAATGGCACCCTAACAGGGGCGGACTGATAACTCATGGGGCCCCCCGGGCAATAAGAGATCATGTGTCTTCGCCCACACTCAAACCACACCCCAAAAAGCCTATGAAAGATATCAGGGGATTCTCACGGGGCCCCCTACTGACCCCGGCCCTCAGGCAGTATCTGAGTCCCCGAATGGTCAGTCCGCCCCTGCACCCTAATAAAGGAAGAGTTTTAGTGGCTAGATCACCAGCTGAAAACAGAGGAGGGGAAGCCTAGTGCTTGGTAAGCTGCAATATATTATATTTTTGGTTTGGGGTTTAATATCGCTTCAAGAAGAAACATCTCCACTGGCCTTCAATTTAATGGACTCTTCACCTTGTGACCATCAATGCTATAGGTTATTTCTCCACTGACCCCTACTATAACTGGGTATTTTTCTACTGATCTCCAATGTAAGTGGTAACTGTTCCACTGATCCCCAATATAAAGGGGGATCATCACCAATGGCCACCGATGTAATGGATTTCTTCCTACTGACCATCAAGGTTAGAGGGCATTTCTGCACTGACCACTACTGTGAGTGAACATTTTGCTACGGACCTCCAAAGGAAGGGGGCACTTTGCAGTGATCCCCAATTTAGTGGGGGGCATCTCCATGGGCCACCAATATATTGGACTCTTCCCCTATTGACCATCAATGTTAGAGGGCACTCCTCCACTGACCACCTCTATAACTGGGCATTTTCCAATGACCTCCAATGGAAGGGGGCACTTTCCAGTGATTCCCAATTTGGGGGGAGGGCATTATTGGCCACCAATATATTGGACTCTTCCCTTATTGACCATCAATGTTGGAGGGCACTCCTTCACTGACCACCACTATAACTGGGCATTTTCCACTGACCTCCAATGGAGGGAGCACTTTTCCATTGATCCCCAATTTAAAGGGGGACATCTCTACTGGCCACCAATGTAATGGACTCTTCCTCTACTGACCATCAATGTTAGAGGGCAATTCTCCACTGACCTCTACTGTAACCCCTACTGACCCACTGAGCAGCACAATAACTGTGCATATTTCTACCGACCTCCAATGTAAGGGGACATTTCTATACTAGCCACTATAGTAAGGGAATAACACACATAATTGAATTGTGTGTGTTTTTTTCCTTTTCTTTATTATTACCAATCTTTCACTCTATGATCATTAATGAAAATAAGTTTGGGGGGTATAAAGCAGGAGGGTGTTGATAAATGATTCACTGTGGGAGTCAGATACTCTACGTATGCCATATGCTTTGTCTTCTTTAATACTTTCTGCAACTTGATGATCCCCGCTAATTTACCTTGACCTGCAGATATAATCATTTTGATTAGGGGGTTCCGTGATTCCTAAAATGTAAACGGTTCCCCAAGGGTAAAATGTTTGAAACAGACTGCTCTAAACACTTATAAAAGATGAAACATTATGTACCATCTATGGCAGGGGTCTCCAAACTTTCTAAACTAAGGGCAAGTTTACTGTTCTTTAGACCTTAGAGGAACCGGACTGAGGCCAGTGGAAGTAGAAAATACTCCAGCATCAGTGGGAGTAGACAATGTCTCAGGTTTGGTGGTCGGTGGGAGTAAAACAGATTACATAGCATTTGTGGCCAGTAGGAGGAAGAATAGTATACCATCAATGGTATCAGTGGGAAGAGTAGGTCGTCATCCTTGGTGTCATTGGCAGGATATATTCCCCATCAGGGTGTCAGTGAAAAGTAATGGTGCTGCATAGTTGGTATCAGGAGGAATAGTGTCTCGTATCAGTGGGAGGAGTAGTGCCCCAAGGGCCAGATAATGGCAAGCAAAAAACACCAATTTTGAAACCACTGTTCTTTAATCTGGCCAACCTGGCTAGGCTTTCTGTCTAAAGTGGTGTAATTGGCAGGATATATTCCACATCAGGGTGTCAGTGGAAAGTAATGGTGCTGCATAGTTGGTATCAGGAGGAATCGTGTCTCGTATCAGTGGGTGGAGTAGTGCCCCAAGGCCCAGATAATGGCAAGCAAAGAACCTCAATTTTGAAACCACTGTTCTATAGACTGGCCAACCTGGCTAAACTTTCTATCTAAAGCGGTTAGAAGTACAACATTTGGCCAAACACGGCCTTTTGCTCAGATAAAATGTTAAGTGCTATGCTGTTTTCAAAAGTAATTCTTTTATGGGCACCCATTGAGTTAGGTGCATAGTAGTGTCACTGGGGCCTGAGATGCAGAAACCAATGTATTGAAGAAATTGTAGAACAGTTACAACAACCCGGCCGGGAGATCGCCCATCTGGGAACTCAAGACAGTGCCTACTGAAGTAGGTGGAGTGCAGAATGGCCGGTCCAACCCAAGAGGGAGCTTGAAGAAGTGTATACATAGGCCCTACACTTTCCCTATACCTTCGGAACCTTTCCCTACCGCTAGTGCTGTAC